AATTAGTTAAAGTCTTTATAGGATTTGTTAGGAATTCAATTGAAAATTTAATTTATTAGGGTATATTTTATGAGCTATTAAGGCAGGGTATAAAATATAAATAAAGTTAACTGAAAAACGGCTAACAAAAACTCGAAATTAAACATCAACAACCGGAAGTTAAGTGAATATATTTTTTTTACAACAGAAATGAACATTTTGTGGTAAAGTTAGGGGATTGAAATATTATTTTATTAGCAGAGAATAAGTTTGTTATTTTTTTTCAAGTAAATAAAGGATAAAGGGACTAAGGGAATGAAGCCATAGTTTTTCTATAATTTTCTTAACTAAATAAACTTAATGTTGAGCCCTAATAAAACCCTATTTTTCTGCCATGTCAGCATTAAATGTAATTCCTTCTACCAAGTTTTGATCTAGGTAATAACACCTGAAACGTGTGACAAGTTTATGGTCAACGGTAAGTCAGGCAGCGGGTCAAGGGGAGAAAGTCAAATGTAATCGCTTCGATCCACTTTCACCTGGTGACAATTGTGGGCTCGCCCACTAAATGAAATTACAGTGGTTACATTAATCGCTTAGTCATTCGCTCGGCTTGTCAATCAATCAATCAGGCAGGCGGCTGTACATAGACATAGGCATATGTATGTACATGTGTAGACATCAAACGCATCAACGGAGGGCGGCGCGTGTCAACTTTTGGCATCTAATAAAGCTTATGGAGCGCTAAATTGGATTTGCATACATTATTGGTGGTGGTGGTGGTGGTGGTGATGTCCTCCCATTGAAGCGTGAAAATTCCACTCCTTGGACTCCCATTTAGCTTTAAGTATTTCCCCACATCACAAGGGTATGGGATAGGTAATCAAGTATTCCATCATTCAACAGGATTTTGGTGCTGTGTGTGTTTACATTTGATTGCTGTAAATGCGATTAAGCTGAGTGACTTCAAAGTGACTAAATTCGATTTCATTTTCACTGAAAAGGAAATTGCCTGCGAAAAACAGACACAGAGAGAGAGAGAGAGGGGGAGACGAGGCATATCCTAATTTATGCTTAATAAGACTCCGCTCGTAAATCTCCAAGGTAGCTGCTGCATGTGTGTCCGTGTACCCAGGGGAGCCATAAATAAAGCCCTGAAAACTGAGCTAAAATCTGCACATAAAATGAGCCAAATGCACATTTTCTCCTCTTCTCATTCCCGGCCACTAGCACTACTTGCATTTTAATGTCCTTCGTAGAAGGCAAGCCTAGAGCCTAGAGCCTAGAGCTCGCAAAAGGTCAACACGACGCGTTTTCTGCGGTGCGGTTAGCGGATAACCCCCTGCCCTCCGGGATTCCACTCCCACAGTTGCCTGCGGTCAGTGCAACGGTTTGAAATTACGACCCAACCTAGCACAGGATCAAAAGGAGCGGAAGGGAGCTATTATACTCGGAGAAAAGTCTTTCGTTTATCTGGAATTAATTTATAAATTTATTTCTTTGAAAATAAATTAGGAAATATGGATTTAAAAATTAAAGATATGATTTTAAATGAAACAACATGCTTGTAAAAACATTAAATTAAATATTTTGAGTTGAAAAAATAATCATAAATGGAAAAATATTTTTATTTTCGAGAATATCTATATAAATATATACAAATTTTCATTTTCAGGAATTATATAGATAATTTTAATGTAATTTAATTTTAAAATTACTGGGCTGTCAGTCAGCCTTTTTCTTTATTTAACTAAATAGTTTTATAGTTTTTAAAGATTTTGTTAACAAATTAAACATAATTTTCTCCCAAATTGCAGTGCAAACTATGTGGCTCCCGGCACATTGCTGAAATGAGATGAAAATATGGCTGCAGTTGACTAGATGGCCATAAACATGTTACATGATCCGTTGCCGAAAGGGGTTGGATGAGAGGGGAGGGGCCGGATGCCGGCCAGAGTTTGCCAGGGTTGCCACGCAGCCTGCGGTACTCAGAAATTAATTGGAGCTTTAAGAATAGATGAGAATAGTGCAGAAGTGCAAGCTCAAAACCAATTAAAATCGGTTATAGGGAAGAGGGTTTTATGCCAATTATTGGACTTTATGTTGCCATTGTTTTGAAGTTTTACAGATAGCTAAAAGTAAAGGATTTAATTTATGAAATAAGAGATTTTGATTTAGAAAATATTTGATAATTTTTTACTCAGTATACAAGTGGTATATAACTCAAATTTTAAATAAATATTAAAGTCAGATTATATAGATTTAAAAATCCAACTAAATAACCAACTTTTGACCTTTCAATCATCGCTGGCTCTTTGCCAGATCGCGACTCAAAACTTGTGCCACTTTGTCGCTGAAAGTATCGATTGATTAGTGAAAACTTGTACTGCACTTGACAATCCATTATCCCAAAAGGCTGCTGCCACCCTTGGGCTTCTCACTCAATAACCCCCCCCCCCAAGTGAATTCCTGCAGCCAAGATCCGGGGAAAAAAAATCAAATTACTCCATTTGCATGTGGGGAAAAGTGCACGGGGAAAATCGTGTTGGAGCCCCGAGTATGTACATGCATAAATAGTTTACACCCACTCCATGGGATTTAATTCCATCCCTCATCGGGTTCACATTACATGGCGGCGCAGGCGGGCTGAAATCCTTACTGGGCCCCACGTGGCGTATGAGTAACGCAATGCCTTATTAAAACGGACCAGGGAGCCTGAAGTTTAACGAGTGGGAAGTGCATAAAAAGCGGTCACTTAAGCAGGCAAATTATTTTACTTATTTACTTCTTTTATATATTATATTTTTTTTGCTCCAAAGTAGTATTTCTTTTTGCTGTTCGACATATACATAGAAATGTAAATGAAATTTACTAAACGAATTTTCTTGTTAAATGGCCACGCCTCATGATGGGACACGATAGGGGATTTAAGGAGGGGAGGCTTCAATTGACAAGCCCCCAAAGTCCTTAGTGCCAGCAGGAACAGGCGACAGGCAACACATTTTTGCATGCACCAAGAGAAAAGTAAAGAAATATAAAAATATAATTAATTAAATACAAACAAAGCCTTTTAAGACCCTAAAAATCCTGTAAATTTACCAGAAAAAGCTAAAATCTTATATTAAAAAAAATTTATTTAAATAAAACTTGTCAAATTTGCATATTTCTCTGTGTACAAAAAATGCGCTTGGCGATTGGCAAGTAGCGACTGGCGACTGGCGACCACTTGACAGCCACAGGCTCTACATGCATATACTAGTGCTTTATGCCGCTTTTGTCACTGCTTTGGCTCCTGGTGATGTTTTCGTTGTTATTGTGGGAAGGACAACGCTCACTTGGCTTGCCTTTTGTTGTGCAAACAAAGCAAAAAGTGGGCGGACAAACACACAGGAAGTGGGCGGGGTACAGCAAATGGGAGGCCATAACGGCAGCAAGCCATAAATCAATTGGCAGCGTAGAAAAATTGCAGAAAATTACTTGGATATTTACGGTCACTGAGCACACAATAGCAGCCAGCAGCGGCTGCTCTTGCCCACCCACATCCTCTTTTGTCCTTTGTCCTCCTCTACCTCCTCTACCCCCTTTGCCCCTTTTTCCCCCTTTCCTGTTTTTTGCCCCAGCAAAGAGCAACAAGTATTGCCCGGCATCGGTGACACTCAGGGACAGCGACAGGACATTTGCTGGCTATAATTACACATGTACCTTGCAGCGGGGCCACATGTCGTATTAGTAATAAGAGCCAAGGTCAAGGGCGTCGCCAAAGAGAAACACAGGAGGGGGAAGTGGTTAAGGGAGGTCTTTATATCTTTAAATAAACTTGGAGGGAATGTAAGTTTTTCAAAGAAAAGAAGGTGTGTTGTTTTTAGAGGTTTATTGATTGTATTTCTTAGAATTCTGGTATATTATTAACTGAGCTAATTGTAGGTTGAAAATTATATATAAACTTTAAGCCAAATTTATTATAAAATATTTAAAGAATTAATTTAAAGTTTTAAATTAGTTAAAAGCAAAAAACTCTGCATAAAATTCACAACATTCGGCACAAAATCAAAGCAAAGCTAGTTTTGGCAGACTTCCTGTTATTAAATCTGTCCTTCCACAGCCTGATTTTGCATCCCCCATCGATCGCCACCCATGCTTCTCCCCAGATGATGCACTACTCCTGTCAAGGCTCTCCAGGAATAGCCTCCTGCTGCGCTTGAGATGGCTGAAACAGGGGCTGGGGGTTTGGGTGGCTCGGCATGTAATTATTCTGTCATCCGAGGTGTGTCACAAAACCAGAAGAAGAGCACAGGCAGAGGGCATGCGGGGACAGGCAGGCAGGCAGGCTGCCTCCCTACTATATAGAGACAAAAGCCAGTCGGCTGGCCAGCTGGCCTTGCCCTCTGACCCGGTCCTGTTGTTTATGGGCACCCAGCACTGTACATGTGCCGTAATTGCATTGTTGCCGTTGTAATTACTCGCAAACATGCAGTTAATTAAAATCATTAAAATGCCTTTTGCCTTTCGAGGCAGATACAGAGGGAGAGGAGACCCCGAGCCGACTTGAAGACAGCTGGGGGAGCGCTTTAATTTCCGCTGGGTGGCAGGAACTGGCGCCCAACTGTCACCAAGTGCCAAGAGTGCAAATTATTCTGGCTTCAGCTCAGCTTTTGGCTTTTTTACGTGCCTGGCACAGAGAGCTCGTCGAGCTCCCCCAGATTGTGGATCTGGGAATTGGGTAGAAGAATGTGTCCCGCCGACGACGACGACTGACGACTGACGCATGGCGTCGTCTGGCACATAACATGCCGGCATCCATTTGCAACAGAATACGGTTGGATTGATTTTGATTAATGCTCTCGGGCAGTCACAAAAGTCGAACAAATGATTTTAACGCTTGCCGAAAACATTCCAAAGTGACAGGCAGAGTGTAAAAGTCAAGCACACGACGAGTCAAAGGAGTTCGAAGGACCCCACCAGGACTATGTCAACGACAGACCTTGGCAACCTTGTCAAACACAAGCTAGACACCAAAATAGTTAATGGTTGGGTTCAACTTTATTCTCACTCGGTCTCTGGTGGCAGTTCGAATGGCACCTCATAGGAGTCGTATACCAGCAGATGGGCCTTCTGAAGGAGACTGATTCCATTCAGCTCGCAGTCCTTCTCACTTGCCAGACAATGGAGGCCCAGTTCCCAGCGACATTTGGAGCAGTGCAGGTTCTGGAACTTCTCTCCATTTGCGGTCACCCTGATCCTGTCCTGGTGTATCAGGTTGTAGGTTCTGGTCAACAGGACATCGTAGGGCGTCTCACCTGCCTTGGCTGACCTATAGCCAATAATGTTGCCACAATAACGACAGGCATAGGCTATTTTAAAGTTGGACATTTGAAACTTGAATCAATGATAGCTTGAGATGAGATTTTGAAAGAAAAAGGGAAGGAAGGGTTCACTTTTAAGTGAATTATATACAAATTAATATAAATTGAAGGGTTCCTTTATAAAGACACCAAGAGATTAATCACTTAAATATTTAGAATTAGGCAAAATATTAAAGAAAGTCCAAGAATTTGAACTGGAAACAATACAAATTAGCTCTCTTAAAACCCTCTCTTGCATAAGCTTTCAAAACCTTCCCTAATTAGCTAAAATAACCTAAAAAAAACCTGTCAGTTTTCAGGTGGCCATATCCTCCCGTGAAAATATATCCCATCCTCCATTTCCTGGCATCATAAATAACAAAAGCTATTGATGGCAAATCATTTGTGCTAAGTCGGCCCATCATTAGGGAGGACGAACAATCGAAAGGCACATAAAGCATATTTGATGCTCATTGGCAAAGTTGATTACAAATACAATGCCGTATTCATGGGCACTATCCTGCATCCTGTCCCCTTCCACATCCTGCTAGATAATTAATGAGTTTAGTCAGAGGCTATATGCTGGGATACGTTGGAATGGGGAGAGAGAGAAGTGTTGCCATCATCGTCATTTGTTTATGCGTCGTCTGTTTGCAGCTGTTATTTTATTCAGGCGCTCGCCTTGAAGATAATTTGCGCACGTGCTTCAGATTCTGTGTGTGTGTGTGTGTGTATGGGGGTGTCCTTGTTTGGCAGGAAACGATACTTAGAGTGTGTGTACCTCCTCCTACCTTTTCGCTTTCGCCTGGATAATTGCTAGCATTTGTCTTGGGCGTATAATCAAATATAAAATCAAATTACTGATTCGAATTTCTAACTGGCGCCGCAGCAACGTCGTCTCCCAATTAAAAATTTATGTTCTCCGAGTGCCAAAAAGGTGTAATAATAAATCGGAGATGAAAGGAATTAACTAGAAATTCTGAAAATTGGTTAAGGAAAATAAAACTAAAATTTATTTATGGAGGAGAGGTTAACGGTGTTGATTTAATGGCTTCTCCTTGAAGAGGTTTTAAAGGTTTTAAGTTTTAAATAAAGTAAGGCAAGGAATTTTATATGAATTTGTTAATGGAGATATATATAGTATAAAAGAATCAGTATAAAGTTCAACTATAAAAGTAACTTCTTCCTACAACTTCTACAACTTCTACTTAAACTAGTTAACAAATAATATTTACATTCATCGATTTATTTTAAAAGTTATACAAAATCCCATAACTTTCCTTCATAAATATAACTCCAACTTTATTTTCTCTCTTTTCTATAAGCATTTCAATTAGGAAAATAAAGATCTCAGGATTCCAAGGAAGCCTTAAAACACGGATAAATTTGCAGTCACTGCTGTAAGGCAAAAGATTAAGCCAACTTTTTATAAGTGGACCAACTAGAACAACAAATTAATGAAAACTAAGTTGAGCATTCCTTGCCAGTTATCAAAGTTTTCTCTTCAGTCTCCACTCTCCATTCTCCCTCTACTCTTGGCCTCGTTTTTCGGCCATGTTGGCATCCGAAACCGAGACTCCTTCATGGAGCAGAGCAGCCACCGTCTCCAGCACTTTGCTCAGACCGAAATTGATGAAAACGAAATTGATGTTGACTCCTGGGTAAAAGTGGAAGAGATGGGAATGGTTATAAGGCTAAGGATAAGGAGGCAGGCGATGTCGATGTCGATGCGGTTAGCGTTGCCTTTTTGGCCAAAAAAAGAACGGCGGCAGCAGCAGGCAAACGGAATGGGGAAAGCTTTTAGCAGATACTTTACGCAAATCCCATGGGAAAACATTGGCCCACTTTTAGCAGCCAGGCGAAGCCAGGCACAGCGGCCCCATCATTAAAAGTTAAAAAGGATTTTCAACGGATTTACGAATTTGGAGCTGAGCCCGAAAGACAAACAAAGCCATCAATTTACATATGCGAGCAGCAGGTCAGATAGAGAAGAGAGCTGATTCTGTAAAATTCTGAGCGCTCGAAATACAAATTCAAGCAACAAGAAATTTAAGATGCAGCCAGCTCAGAAACAAAGCTAAAAGCCGAGCCAAGACTGTCAAGTAGTCATCCTCCTCATCGTCCTCGTCGTCGTTGTCGTCCCACATCCACTTACGGAGGTCCTGCCCTCCACTCTCTCCCTCTCCCTCTCTCGTAGTAGTCATCGTCATCGCCCAGGACCTTGAGTTGCGTTCGCCTTGCCTTTTGCCTTTGTTGTGCTAAACTTGTGGATTAGCTAAATGCAGGCAGGGCATGCCCTGGCATGCAGGCGGCTTCATTCCAGTGGCAGTAAGTCCCCCCATCCTCTGAGGACGCCCACTTAAACCTAAACATTCCGCCTTGTTGAGTTTTTATGAGCTGCTCATGTTGGCGTTTCACTTTCCTCTTATTCTTACTCGGTCTTTCATTTACTTACACCTGATGTTCAGCTTATTTTTACCTGCCCCCCTTCAAGCAAACATAGGTGAGTGGGGTAGCAAAAGAATACCTGATAGAGCTTTTTAATGACAGAAATTGTGCGTTATCATGCTGGCAGTGTATAAAGGTAATGCTACGTATTTATTTCTGGTGTTTCAGGGAGTGATAGTTAAATATTAAGTACCTTTGCAGGAAAAACAAGTTATTCAAGTATCATCTTAAGAAATATCTCTTGAAAATTAAAGCAAATTCTTAGCAATTTTTATCCTTAATGACGTGTAATTACTTGACCCAAGCTCTCAGGAAATTCCTTTCTCAAAATTCAAATTCCTTGATTGCTCTGAGGAAAGCGTATCCCCAGAGGCTATTCCTCCTTGAATGCATTTAATTGAAACACATTTGGACACGGCTCACAAGATTCGTCGCCGCTGCCCCATCTGTCCCCTAATGAGGACCCTTCAATTCCAATCGATTGCACAACCACGGCCACGCCTTCAACAGCCTGGCCAGGAATCAAAATCAGTTGGATGCAATAGGCTGGAATAATTTGAGAGGAGAGTCCGAGGCGGAGGCTGGTGAGCCGAACCCCAAGGAGGCGTACTCAATGGGGCGTTAATGAAATAATTAACGCATAAATACAATTTGCTGGTCAGAGTTCAAGGAAACAAGAAGCAAAACAGCCCAAAGGGCCAGCAAATTTACCGCAACTGCTACACAGAGAAGCCATCAATTTGGCAGTGCCTCCGATTTCCTGCTGCTCCTCCCATGGAAATCCTCTCCAGAAACCAAAAAGATCAGGCTGCGAAACATGCAATTTGCCGACTTATTTATCGGGCCCAAGATGGCCAAAAACCAAACGGAAGCACGAGCGAAAACTTTACCAAAATAAAAGTTTTCCGCTATTTGATTTGTTGGTCATTCGGCTTGCCAGTTTAGCCCAAAAAGAAATCTATTGAGCCAAAGCCAAGCGAAGGAACCAGTTAAAAGCATTAGCCAGGGATCGGGGCAAAAGCCACAGTTACTGCATTTGGTTGGTCTCCCACACAAAACCAGAAGAAGATACAGATACAGATACAGCTATCCTTTAGATACATATATACACATCCACTGACAATAAAATTCAGCAACTGTTTGGCTTGAACATCCTGCTGCGCTTTTGTTTGTCGACCAGCGAAAATTTACAATTCCTGGCCGCTGCAGCGCGACAGCGCAGGATGTTCGCCGTCGGCCAGGATGCGCCAGAAATGGCTTCACTTCCTTTTACCCCAGTCCTTTGGCTGGGAAATTTAAAGGCCGCCTTTAAGAGGGTGTAAAGGACACCTATACTTCGGGGCGCCCGCAGGATTCACGTTTGATGTGACGCTCGGGATTGTTTGTGGGCCAATCAAACGAGTGCCTCTAAAAATAACCAGCCGAGCTACCCATTTCACTTGTCAAGAGCAGAGATACACATCCCACCAGCCACTCCAGTGGTTTAGGGCCGTTCGTGTCCTTTGTGGTGGGTGCACGGCGAAAAAAAGCAGGATGTGGGACATGTCTGGGTTCGTTTTTGGAATTTTTAGGGAATTTAATTTTGTTTGACTCCGTGAACTGATTAAGATGTGATTCTAGCTTGTATTTTAAAGGTAATCAAAAAAAGGAATAGCAGAAAAATTAAATAATATAGTTTTAATAAAAGAATAAATATATTTATAACATATATATTATATAAAATAATTATTAAATATATTTAACATTTATAAGATAGGATTATATATATTTCTAGGACTTGAATCTTTCTTCTCTGTGCACAAACAAGCCGTTTGCATGTGCTCGATGGCCAACAAGCTTATAATAAACATTATTATGACTGGCACTGTCCATGTCCAAGTCCCGGGCACTTTATGCTGACTCCAAGCGGCAGAACGAGCAAGCAGATGGGTCCGGATAAGAGCCCCCTTAGACCCAGAGTCGTAGCCTGGAGGACAAGAAGCAGTCCTAGTCCGAAGTTAAGAGGCTGGCTGGGGCCATCTCCGGCATAAAGTTTCAGGACGTTAAGTGGATGATTATTTGCGATTACACGAAGGCACAAACACGGATACACGGATACGGATGCGGCAGCGAATGTGAATGCGAATCCGAATGCGTATGCGGGCACATCCTTGATCCGAAGGACACTCAACGGTACACACACCCACACATGGCTGACTGGCCTTCTGCTGGCAGTTTAATGAAGGTCCTTTCTGGCCTTTACTGCCCATCGGCAGAGTGCCGTTTGATTTGCTCCGCTGCCCAGGGGCGATGATTATGTGTTAATGGTCATCGCACGCGTATTTTTGTTTTTTTATATCGATTGCCAAATTGGCTGCTAACAATTGATGTATGGTGGCAATTACAAAGCAGGCATTACTCATCCAGTTGGACGGGTCCGGGCCAAAGTTTCCTCATAAATGCGACTCGTAAATCTTTGTCGATGCTTACAATAGTTTCCCTTCCTTCGAAAAAGAACCGATGTATTCCCCCTTTTTTTTCAGAGCTGACCAATGCCAATCGCGAGGCATTCAGCAGCAGCAACACAGCCAAAGCCAAAGCCATAAACATGGACCACTATTG